CTGGGCGTCAGAGAAGTCTCCACGCTGTCACTCACTCAGTCCAAAAACACAGAACTGCAGAAACATGGTCGACATTACGACGAGCCAAGCCGTGAGGCCGCCGTCGGGAGGTGGGCCGATGTCATCGTGGTTGTGCACCGGCGACTCTGCGGGTCGCTGAGCCTCGAGGTCGCCGGGGCTACGGTCTACGCTAGCAGCGTCACCGTTGAAGCCCTCATTCCCCTTTGGAAGGTCGCTCACAATGATCTCATTCTTGCTGGCGATGTCGATATGATTATTGTTGTTGTTGTCGAAGAGTGCTTTCTCGTTTACCGATGTCACCTCATTACGTGTTGTCATGCCTGTGCCCTCTCGACTCGCCAAGCGCGCGAGTCATGCAGCACCGAATGAGAATGTCGAATGCGGAAGAGAATTAGATGAGGTGTAGAGTAGGTGAGACACGCACGCTGCGTCTCAAGAACGCCCTTGGGCATGCTCGTGGTGCCAGATGTGAAGAGGACCATGCAGTCGGATTCGGGCGTGACGTCCTCGAGACCGAACCCCTTGCCGCTACGCACCTCGTCAAGGCTCTTGGAGCTGACAGCAAAGCCGGGCACAAGCTCGGAGACGTTGGAGCGCACAGCGGGATCGACGTGCGACAGCGAGGACCAGCAGTGGATCGGGCCGACGCCGCGCGCAGTCAGCTCCGAGGCGATTCTCTCTCCCAACTTCACAATACATGTCCAGGAATACCAGCGAGCATGACAGCTTAAGCCTCCCTACCCTCAATATCTGGGTCGCCGCAGATGTGAGAAGCGACCAGACAACATGATGGCGACTGAGAATTGAGAGTTGTCGGGCTCCCTCCTGTACGGGTTCCGATGGCCGAGATGCGGAAATCTTGATCGGGTGTCAGCCGAATAGAGCAGTCAGGTTTGTGCGTCTGATCAGCCCGTCGGCACAGCTGGTAATGCCTACTAGGCGTAGATCGATAGCAACCCTCGCTCTCGCAGTCACTGTCACCTCCCTGCTGTCCCTGCTTGCTCTCAGACCCAGAACTTCGGTCTGCATAATGGTCAGTGCGTCACCTTGGATCGGCGATGATGAGATATGCAGGGACTGAATAGAGTCACGTGCGTCATCCGCTCGGTGGAGACCTGGTGGAGGTACGGCGCGTACCCCAGAGTCTTGGCGTTTCCGGCGCTTTCCTCTTGCGGGCAACGCCCAACGGCGACGCGGCCAGTCGGGGGGTGGGTCAACAAAGCATCGAGGACTCCGGGGCGAGGAGTATGCATCCACCCACACAGCCATACATCTCGCTCGACCGAGACACGCTAATCCACCGACACCGACATGCCTCTGTGGAAGTGGAACAAGGCAGACGACGAGGACGTAGGCGAGACGCTGTCGCCGGATGCCGTCGGCGGCGGCGGACACGGCGGCGAGCGCACCGCCCTCCAGGAGCAGCTGCGCGTGTCCAAGGCGATCCGGCTGTTCCTCTCGCATCACGGCGTGCTGTCGGCCGAGGACGTCGAGAGCGACACGCCATCCCCCGCCCTGCGCAAGATGCTGCAGCGCCCGCACGCTGTCGTGCCGCCCGAGCTGCTCGACGACAGCCACCCGCTTACCGAGTACTTTATCTCATCCAGCCACAACACGTATCTCCTCGCGCACCAGCTGTTCGGCAAGTCGTGCCCGTCGTCTTACGAGACAACGCTGCGCGCCGGCGCAAAGTGCGTCGAGATTGACGCGTGGGATAACACGGATGACCTCCAGGAACCAAAGGTGACTCACGGGTACACGCTCGTCTCGAACACGCCCTTCCGGAAGGTCTGCGAGACAATCCGCGACTACTGGGACAACGACAAGAGCAACCCGAAGGCACCCATCTTTCTGAGTCTCGAGAACCACTGCGGCGGGCCGGGACAGGAGCGCCTCGTCGCCATCATGCGTGAGGTGTTCGGTCACCGCCTCCTCGACGACTGCGATGACCACTCCGAGACGTCGCCGCAGCTGAGTCGCCTCGAGGGCAAGATTGCCGTCATCGTCGAGTACCACTGGCCGGACGCCGAGAGCCAGGCTCAGGACGATGAGGGATCCTCATCCTCGTCCTCCAGCGACTCGGAGGACGACGCAGTGGCGAAGAAGCAGTACGAAGCGCGCAAGGAGGATGCGCCGGCCAGCCCAATTATCAGCGAGCTGGCGCGGTTAGGCGTGTATGCTCAGAGCGTCAAGCCAACCAGTGCGGGGTGGTACGACCTCGCGCTCGACGGGTACCCGCACCACCACCTGATCAACCTCTCCGAGGTCGGACTCGGTACGCACCTGCCCGCGAACTGCGACAAGGTACGCGCTCACAACGCGCAATACCTGATGCGCGTGTACCCGAAGGGCACGCGCGTGAACAGTTCCAACCTGAACCCGGTGCCCTTCTGGCACGTCGGAGCGCAGATCTGCGCGCTCAACTGGCAGCGTTTCGGCGCGTCACTCCAGCTCAACGAGGCCATGTTCACACACTCGAACGGATACATCCTCAAGCCGACGTACATGCGCAAGGGGCACGTTCACGCCCACAGCCACGGGCAGCACGCCGACCGATCAAACCCCAAATACCCCTTCCCGCGGCGCAAGCTTGCGCTCCGAGTGGTTGGTGCGACCGACGTGCCCGAGCGCAAGGACGGGATCAAGCCGTACATCTCCTGCCAGCTGGTCTGCGGGACGGACACGGGCAAGCCCGAGAAGCGCAAGACGGGCAAGTACAATGACCACGACCACCTCAAGTTCCTGAACGAGGTGGGCGCGGATCAGTACAACCCCATCTGGGACGAGACGCTCGAGTGGGAGTACGACGACGACGAGCTCGTCTTCCTCCGCATTCTCCTCAAGAGCGATGACAAGTTTGCGCGCAACCCTGTCATTGCGGCTGCGTGCATTCGTCTCCTCTACGCGCAGCCTGGATGGCACTTTGTCCGCCTCATGGACGCGCACGGACAGGAGACGAAGTCAATCGTGTTCATCAAGCTCGACGTCTCCGATGCCTAGTTACCCTCCTTCCACGCATACATACGCCCACACACACACGCGCTGGTGTGTCATGACTGTTCTTTGCCGTATCTTCTTGACGATGTAAACCATAACACACGCGCGACCCCAGACCCAAAGATGTGCTAACGTCGCAAATGCATTCTTGAAATCCTTCTGATGTCTAACCCTCCTACAGCTTACAGCTTCGCACGCGGCTCGGCCTGGGCAGCCTGCTGGATCTTCCACGCCTCACCGACAATCTTCTTAACGTCGCTCTTGACGATCTTGCCGTTCGCGTTGCGGGCTGTGGTACATTAGCTCGCGCTATGCCTTCGATACTCACGAAGCGGCTCGTCGAGCACAAGCACAATCGCAGGACGTGCGATACGCCTCAAACGAGGCTCAACAATCTTGGAGATGCTTGCAGAATCCGCCTTTGCCCCTGGTGCGAGAGAAACGGCCACGCCGACCTGCTCGCCGTGTCTCGGACACGGGACGGGCACGCAGGCTGCCTCTGCGATCCTGTCGTCCTTGTAAATCGCGTTCTCCACCTCCTCAGAAGCGATGTTCTCGCCAGACCGGATAAGAACGTCCTTGGCTCGGTCGAGAATACGTCTGCAAACTGTCAGCAAGCAAAACAGGAGAAGAAACCCGTGGTGGAAAGGTGCTCTTCGAGAATGATGTGGTGGAGTGGAGGGGTGGTGGAGTGCCACTTACAAGAACCCGTTGTCGTCGATCAGCGCCAGATCGCCTGTGTGCACCCAGCCATCCCTGAGGGCGTCCGCGGTCGCAGCAGGGTTGTCGATGTACTCCTTCATGATGTTGGGACCGTAGCATTCGACGATACCCGGCTGGTTCGGACCCAGAACCTTGCGGGTCTCGGGATCGACAATCCTCTGTTCGTCGACCGGCATCGCAGGGCCAACACAAGCCGGGTTGGCATGGTAATCCGGTCCCATGAAGCCCGTGTGCAAGCCAGCGGTCTCGGTCATGCCGTACGCGTGGGTGGCCATTGCTGCGGGCCACTTCTTCTGGATATCGGCCGCCAAACGAGCAGGAGGCGGCGCACCACCATAGGTGATGCCTTCCATGACGTGGTCGCTTGGCAGTTCGGGGGACTGGAGAATAGCAGTAGCGATAGCGGGCACGCCGCCGATGACGCCAATCTTCTCCGCGACGCAGAGCTTGACGGCTGCGCTGGTGCTCCACCGCTTCATGAACACCATCTTCATGCCCATGTGCACGCCGCGCGACATCCAGCCGAGCAGGCCCGTGACGTGGAACAGCGGCACGGCGAGCAGCATCGCACCCTGCTGCTCGGGCGGGTCGTGCGCCGCAAGCGCCATCTCGACCGTACCTCCCATACGCATGATGGCGCGCGCCGCGGGGATGGACGAGCTGATGACGTGGGTGAGACACGCACGCTGCGTCTCAAGAACGCCCTTGGGCATGCTCGTGGTGCCAGATGTGAAGAGGACCATGCAGTCGGATTCGGGCGTGACGTCCTCGAGACCGAACCCCTTGCCGCTACGCACCTCGTCAAGGCTCTTGGAGCTGACAGCAAAGCCGGGCACAAGCTCGGAGACGTTGGAGCGCACAGCGGGATCGACGTGCGACAGCGAGGACCAGCAGTGGATCGGGCCGACGCCGCGCGCAGTCAGCTCCGAGGCGACGGAGCCGAGGACAGATGCGTTCTCCGGGTCGCAGAGCACGAGAACGGGCTTGGTGAGGCCGAGACAGTGCAGCTGGGCATCGACGATGAGCGTCGAGTTCAGCAGCACGGGAACAGCGCCGAGAAGGCACACGGCGATGAACGAAATCATCCAGCTGGGATCGTTAGCGCCCTTTCCCGTTCCCCATCGGTCATGGCCCCTTCACCCCGTGACCTCGGGTCCATCTCCGCCCTCGGCGTGAACACTCACCCAGCACAGTTCCTTCCACCGATGGCAACCCGCGTGCCAGCGCGCACCTCCCGATCGCGGAGCCAGGCGGCGAGACGGACACTGCGTTCCCACACCTCGCCATAGGTGAGGACCTCGCGGTTCTCCTCGCTGAGCGACTCGGCGCGCGGCGTGGAGAGCATAACACGGTCACTCCATTTGGTCATGCGCTCCTCGAAGAACTGGCGGAAGTGCACCGGTGCGCGCTTCCAGGTCTTGATCTTGCAGCCGCGGATCACCTTCTCCTCGATCTCGAAGATGGTGCCCGGGCGGCAGAGCGCCGCGTCGACCTCGTCGTAGCTGGGGGTTGGGGCCATGATCCTTTCAATCACTCGGATCCGTCGTCCGTCAGAGGTGTAGAGCGAAGGCTTATAAGGAGTGCACAATGCACAGGTGACAGAGAGGAAAGAGGAGTCAAAGCGTTAGCGGAGTCTGTCGAAATATCGAGAAGGTGCACACCATAGCTCCTGGCGGGTGGGCACCCGCCGTGGTGAGTCCCGCCTTGGGCCGCTCTGTACCTTGGGGCGACCGACCGGTTAGCTGGAGATAAGAGTGGGCAATCGCCAACTCACCCGGGCCGACGCCCCGGGGATCACTCGGCACGCGACACGTTCGGTCATGTCCGTTGCTTCCGCTCAGCCATTCCAGCGGGCGTGAAAAATCCGGTCTACAACCCTTCCTCTGCTTGCTGATGATGATGTTGTGGATGACATAACACTGGTGTTCTCGCAGGAGCAGGTGACGCCGCAGAGTGGCGCATCGAGATATCGACAGGTGGTTCGGCAGACGATTATGAAAGGTTGCGCGTGTGGGACGCGACGACGAGGGGCTTCAACGTGGGATGTGGGACGCGCGGCGGGACGACCGAATGCATGACGGCCCACTGGATAGTCCTGGTGAGGAGTATGCGGAGCACTCCTGGTCGCCACTCAACACCACAGCAAAAAACGCTTGACCCGTCTATATTATGCATCCCGGTTTAGCTAGATATAAACGCCCAGATTTCAATGCAAATGATGAATGTTACACGCCTTTCATTTCTTACAGGTAGTCCCTCCGCGAGCGCGGCGAGTTGCTGCGCGCGAGCTCGAGGACAAGGTCCTCATGCCTCGGCTCTGCGCGGCAGTTGTCGAGCTCGCCGCGCGTACCGCCGCCGAGGTCGGCCGCGTTGGCCGAGAACGTCGGCCCCTGGTCCTCGTGCACGTGGTGCTCGCCGTGGTGCTCTCCCTCCTCGTCGGTGCGCCCGGTGGCGTCCGAAGACCCGCTGGCCAGGCTCTTCTGCCGCGCCTCCCACCGGATTCGCAGCGGAACACAGATAACTAGGAATCCCGAAAGCAAGAACGAGAGACCGTTAAAGATACCCGCGTACATGTACTTGCCCCCGTCGGCCTGGATGAGCGCACCGCTGATAACGGGACCCAACATGGAAGGGACGGCCATCATGGTGACGAGCATGCCGAAGCGCATGCCCACCTCCTTCAGCGGCGAGATTGAAGCGGTCGCGGCGCCAACGAGCGTGAACCACGAGCCGGAGCACATGCCGAAGAAGATGAGGCCTAGAGTCGTGGCCGCGGTGCCGATCATGGGCGGCGTCCAGAAGGCGAACATGACGATGGACGTTAGGAACGGGATCGTGCACCCGACGGTCCACACGCCAACGCGGTCGGCCAGCTGACCAGCAAGGATACGTCCCGAGATGGAGCCGGCAGCGACAATCGCAATGCCGTACACCTGAACCTGATGCGCGACCTCGTTTGCGCGCGCGAGATTGAGCGCGTTGTACGACGGAGACATGAGGTTGAGGGCGTACATCGCCGCGCTGGCCACGAGTAGGACATACTTCATGTCCTTCCATGGGCGCTTCAGGTCGCTCCATGGCGGCGGGTCGTGTGGCGGCAAACGTGGCTTCATGAGGACGATGGACGGGCACATGAGTACGAAGTTGAAGCCGGCGATGACGAGCATCGTGTCCCGGTAGCTCAGCGACTTGAGCAGGTTCTCGAACATGATGGGGTAGATGATGGTTCCAAAGCCGGCGCCGCAGACAACGATGCCCACGGCAGTCGCTCTCTTCTTCAGGAACCAGTGTGCGACGACGGCGGTCGAGGGCGCGTAGATGAACGAACCGCTGAAACCGAATGCGATGAACGACAGGAGGAACTGCCAATACTCCTTCGAGAACGCCATGCCGACAACAGCCACGAACGCCAGGAGCGTACCTGACGTAGCCAGAATCTTGGCGCCGTGCAGGTCGAAGAAGCGACCCATGATAACGGCGAAACCGAACTCGATGAGTGTTTGCACTGATCCAAGCCACGCAATTGTCGACTTGGAGTAGTTCTTGAGCTGGTGGTCCATGTAGTACGTCTGCAGTTGACCATTGGCAGTCACTGGGCGTCAGAGAAGTCTCCACGCTGTCACTCACTCAGTCCAAAAACACAGAACTGCAGAAACATGGTCGACATTACGACGAGCCAAGCCGTGAGGCCGCCGTCGGGAGGTGGGCCGATGTCATCGTGGTTGTGCACCGGCGACTCTGCGGGTCGCTGAGCCTCGAGGTCGCCGGGGCTACGGTCTACGCTAGCAGCGTCACCGTTGAAGCCCTCATTCCCCTTTGGAAGGTCGCTCACAATGATCTCATTCTTGCTGGCGATGTCGATATGATTATTGTTGTTGTTGTCGAAGAGTGCTTTCTCGTTTACCGATGTCACCTCATTACGTGTTGTCATGCCTGTGCCCTCTCGACTCGCCAAGCGCGCGAGTCATGCAGCACCGAATGAGAATGTCGAATGCGGAAGAGAATTAGATGAGGTGTAGAGTACGAAGTAAAAGATAGAAGGAGGATAGGGTCAGTCGAAGAGGTGGTCCTGAGAAGGCCGTCCAGCGTTAAACCCGGGTCCCCGATTTGAGTGAGGGTGGCCGGCCTGGGGCAAAAGTTGAGGCTGAAATGGAGCGTTGGCACGGTATGCGGCTGAGGTTCGGCGGTGAGCGGCAAGAGGGGCCAGTCCAGGACACTCAGGTCAGGTGGGAGAGCGGTCCAGCCCAGACCAATAAGAGACCGCAACTCTGGCGGGTGAACCGAGATTCGGTCAATTCGCCAGGTGTACATCCTGAGCCCAAGACCTTCCAAGCACCGTGCGTCCAGGGCTTCTCTCGGCAAGTCGTATATTATGTTAATCGCCAAAAAAGCTCTCCCTCGCCTCTGGCAGCCTACTTTCTGTCACATGAACAATCTGACTTATGCAAAGCACTCGACTAGCGTCCAGATCTGCTGATCTGCGCGTCTGGCATCACCTGTCGAGGCAACCAACATCCTATATGGCCACCTGCGTTTCAAGGCACCCCGTTTATACGACGTCTCTCGCTCCGCCTACCATAATATCCACCCGGCTGAAGACACCGCTGATCACCGCCAGCGTCCGTCTCGATCTGTCTGCTGTTTCCAGATGGCCCCAGAGCCTGCAGAAATCTATCCTCCTTCCTCGGTCCTGTCCACATTGGTGAAAGCGAACGGCCATGCAGCCAGATCATGTGCTTCTAACTGGGTCGAAAAGGCAGGAGATAGGCATTTCAGGCTGGAAGCCCGGTATCGGACTTAGCCACAGAGGAATGCTTGGCTTGCGAACAAGTTCACATCAGCTTATGATCTTAACAATTGCAATCACCCGAGAAGACCACAGAGCGATCTTCACATGATGCTGAGACGCCGCTGGATCTTGGCGGCAACCTCGTCGGATGATTTGCAAGTGTCGCAAGGAGTAACGTTTGCCTCAAGCGTCTCGAGGTACGCGCAATGACGACCAGGAATGCGGCAGGCGTCCGGATGTCCGGGAGCGAGTGCCCATGTGGTCCACACTGCAGCCTGGGGCCCAGAGAGACACGGAGGGTGCCTGGTCGGACTCATCCGATGGGTGAGTCGCGAGGACGAGAAGAGTGGAGCGGGACTTTTTTGTCGGCGAGCAACCCGGCGCCCGTCTCCCTCCGTCCTACTCCCGCGTCGGACTTGTCACGTCGCCTTACCCCGATGCGTCCCAACTGATATGCAGGCGGACGGGCCACTCTTGAGTCCCTCCTGTGAATCGAGTGTTCATCGTCGACTCCGCCTTCGCAATCGCCGGCGTCTCAGAACCGTGCCATCCGCACAAAGGATCCCATATCGTGTTGGAATCGTAGACCCTGCTCAACGTCGGCCCCCGTGGTGGCCCCGCGATCTATTGCAGGAACTCCACTAGCATCTAGATCGACTACAAGGCCGCTGATGTCGTGTTCTAGATTACGATGAGAGCTAACTAGTCTGCTTGCACTCATTTAAGCCCGTTCATTAGCGCGAGCATGTGCTCGTGTGATGCTCAGATGCACAAAACCCCACCCCTCTGTGCCGTCAACTGCAAATCCGCATGTCCGCACGACGGGTGCGGCGCGAAAGACACAAGGGGACGGCAACTTATAATTAGCACCGAGCCAAGAAGCTCCCCTCACCGCGTGCCCCTCGTAGTGCTCCCAGATGTCCGTCCAAGGAACCAAAGTCAGAACACCCAAGTATTCAGTCGTCCAAAGGTCCAATTGCAGAACGGCGCGATGTGCGAGAACATGTAACCTGAGGACCCGAGATTGCATGCAGGGCCTCCTGCGCACCACTGTCGTTCTCTCCAGACTCCGATCTCCCCACCCCCGCAGGGTCACTACCGCTCACATCCGAAATTAACCACTTGAACCACCTCGGGTACGCGCGCAGGCCGAGGTACTACCAGCGCCGGGCGCCGCTCCTCACGACTGCAACTTCATATCGCACTACTACATCAAGCATCATGTTGCCTTCACTCTATATTTCTCTTCCTCGACACAGTCCACAGTTGTGCCGCGACGCTCAAGGACAAGCCGACGGCAACAACTCAGTCGTCTCGCAGCAAACTTGGACTACAAGAACCAGGCGAGACTCGCTGATCCGACTTTGGACGCGGCACTCATTCTCTAGCGCGAGCCGCTTCCACAATCAGACATGTCACAACCGGTGAACCCGGCCACCTCTCCGATAGCCGCTGCGACGTTAGCGGAGCGGGATATCAAGGAGGATTGTGCACCAGCCGTATTGCTCAGCCCGTCCACCGAGAAGGACGCCTTCCCCTCATCTTCCGCAACGCTGGGCCGTGGGACAGCCTCGTCTTTGACGGAGTCGGGGCACGTCGATGATGAGGACCACACTCTGAAGAAGCGGCCATGGCACCCGCGCGTAACACCGTGGTCCGACATTCTGCAGCACGAGTACAAGGGTGCAGGCACTGAGGCCGACCCGTACATCGTCTCCTGGCTGCCGAACGACCGCGAGAACCCGATGAGCTACAAACCGTCGTACAAATGGTTCATCACCGTCATGGCGGCGACGGGAACGCTCGCCGTCTCCATGGGTAGTTCCATGCTCTCAGCTGCGGTGGAGGATATTAAGAAGGACTTCCCCGGGCATAACACCATGCTTTACATTATGATCACGGGTGAGTCTCTCAGAGTCGCCGCGTCACCGGACAACACCGTCGGATGAGAATCGCGACCTCGGGGTAGTCCGAAACTGACTCTCAGGCATCTACGTGCTCGGCTTCGTCGTCGGTCCCCTGCTGTGGGCACCGTGCAGTGAGGTATTCGGACGCCGTGCGATGTTCATCTTCACGTATGTGCCGTTTACGGCGTTCAACGCGGGCGCCTGCGGTGCCAAAGACATGAACACGCTGCTCGTCATGCGCTTCTTTGCGGGCACGTTCGGATCCTCGACTATGACGAATTCAGGCGGCATCATCGCCGACATGTTCGCTGCGCACCAGCGTGGTCTGGCCATGGGTGTGGTGAGTATACCCCCTCCGTCGTTGCAGGACGTTCGCTAATAAACTTGCAGTTCTCTGCCACTCCGTTCCTCGGACCCGCGATCGGTCCCATCGCCGGTGGATTCCTCTCAGAAGCGTCGAGCTGGCACTGGGTCGCGGCCGTGATCGCTCTCTTCGCTGCACTCCTCACTGCTATCGAATCCCTGCTTCTGCCGGAAACGTATGCCCCTGTTCTTCTGCGGAAGCGTGCCGCGCGCCTGACGAAATACACCGGCCGCGTGTACCGCTACGAGAAGGACGCGGCGGGGACACTCGACATCAAGGCGCTCTTCCTCAACCAGCTCAAGGTGCCGTACAAGCTGCTCTTCACCGAGCCGATCGTGTTTGTCATCTCGCTCTACATGGCGATCATTTACGCCATCCTCTACATGCAGTTCACGGCGTTCCCGCTCGTGTTCCAGGGGTACCGCGGCTGGAGCTCCGGCACGAGTGCGCTGTCCTTCATCGGCGTGAGTGTGGGCGCCTTCATCGCTCTCGCGTATATCATCTTCTGGGTCAACCCGCAGTACGCCCGCCAGCATGCCAAGCTGGGATACCTTCCCCCTGAGGCGCGCCTGCCTTCTGCGACGATTGGAGCCATCCTCCTGCCTGTTGGCCTGTTCATCTTCGCCTGGACTTGCGTGCCCAAGTCGATCCACTGGATGGGCCCCATCAGCGGCACGGTGCCTTTCGGCGCCGGCATCGTCCTCGTCTTCCTGGGAGTGAGCAACTATCTCGTGGACAGCTACCTCCTGCTCGCTGCCTCGGTCATGGCTGCCGGAACGGTCGTTCGATCCATCCTCGGTGTCGTCTTCCCCCTGTTCACCGTGAACATCTACGACGCCATGGGCCCGCACTGGGCGGGAACGTTCGAGGCGCTCCTCGCTGTCATCTTCGTCCCTGTCCCCATTTTGCTTTACCGCTATGGCCGACGCGTGCGACGCATGACCAAGGCGGGCCGCGACGCCGACGACCTCGGCATTCAGATCACGAAGATGATGCAAGCGCAGGCGGCCGCGCGTACCGCCGCTGCGCCGACCGAGCTCGAGCGCCAGGAGTCGAGGCGCAAGGAGGAGGAGATGATGAGCACGACCATGGTTGCGGGCGATGTCACCTCTGCAGGTGACTATGCGAGGGACGAGGAGGCCATAATCGAGTCGACCGCCCCAAGCCTGCGTGCCGAGAGCAGGGCGAGCACGCACCCCGCAGGAGAGGTCAAGAAGCCAGAGTAGATACACTGTAGCCAAATCATAATCAGGATCCCATGCATTAACCATCAGAACACCTGTCTGGCTGTCAGTTTTGCGCCGCCCCTTGCCCACTGGATTCCCAACTATGTCGAGAAACTCGCCACGAAGAGCCGCAGACGCTCGAATCTCATGTCGGGCGGACTTGGCCGCGCGGCTGCGGAGCCAACAACAACCTGTCTTCGGACGTTCTCGTGGTGTAGTGGTTATCATACTCTCTTAGGGTGATCTAACATCTTGAGCTTTGCCTCCAACTGTCTTCGGACAGCGATTGGGAGTGGCCCCGGGTTCAAATCCCGGCGAGGACCTGCTTTTTCTGGTTCGTCAGTGTCGTTGGAACAGAGCGAAAAGGGTTGTGAACAACGAATGCATGCGATGCAAAGGTCTAGCGAGTCGTTGATGTCGTAGAAAGTGTTGTGCGCCCCTCGGGCACAGGCGTCGCGTACTGTGTGTGATCATCGAGCTGTGCCTGCGCCCTCGCGTCGCACCTATGCGCACTCTGTCTCAACCTCCAGTGTGGCACTCCTTCGTGCTTCGCGACAATCTTTCAACGCCTTTCCACCTCACCGAGGGCTCTTTGGTGCATCCTACGCCGTGCAGGATCGAAAAAGAGATGTTCTGGACGAGTTAGGAATCGAACCAAAGACCTCGTCAATGAGCTAGAAGGTGCTAATGACGCGCTCTACCAACTGAGCTACACGCCCGCCAGAACTGCTGATGGCTGACGTCAGCCCTGCGCCCCTGTGTGCGCCCCCGTGCCTGTTTGCGTGTTGTCGTGTACCGCTGTTTGTGTTTGTTTGTGCGGTGTGTGACGGAACAAGGCCATATGTACGAAGAACGCACGGAACTCATAGGAAAGATTGAGGGCTTCCACTCCTCTCCTCAGAGAGTAAGCAACTTCGTGTCGAGTTGATGCCAATTCGGCAAGCATTCTGCGCACGCAGTATCTCCAACGATCGTCGGCGGCGTGGCATGCCACCTCTCTCGCTGTTGATGTCCAAACCATCCCCTTAACCTGTGCCCTCATAGTACCGGATGTCACATGGTGGCGAAGATATAGAGGATCATCAGCATAGGGGCCTCGAGGACACTCTGCGCCCTCAGAACATACCCGTCCTGAGTCTTGTTCACAACGCAGCATTTTGATCGTCGCTGCTTACCACTCTGTGGCTCGTTAATGTGACCTCTACCTCGAACTAAACTTGCTATCACGGCGAAGCACTCCTTACGACGTGTGCGCAGCCGATGGGAGCCGCACGCGGCTGTGAGCGGGCCGGAGGATGGGTGAACATAAGCTGATCACGGCCACTTAGCTCAGTTGGTTAGAGCGTATGCTTAACATCCTCTATCTGGATTTACGCATAAGGTCGGCGGTTCGACCCCGCCAGAGGTCATCTTTTTGGGTCTCTATGCCCTCCCAAAGCTCTGGGAGTGCGGGAAGGAGGCTTGGACGGGTGCGGCGGCCGTCGCGGACAGCCCCAAGACGGATTGGCGCCACGTGATGGACAGACCCCCGCCACTCAATTCGTGCTATCCCTGCAGTCTAAGCAGCCCAATATCGCTTCAGACACAGACTGTAGCTCTATATGTGCCTCTCAATAACAGTGCAAGGTCAGAGCGCAACATCTCTGGCTTGGCCGAATTTTTGTAATTGTCCAATCGCCGTCCGCCACAGACAGGGACTCCACGGCCGCCTCGTCGGTCGGTGTCCCTGGACCGGTTCTCTCAGGCTGCCAGATGCCGAGCAAAAACTCTGCCTCTGCTCGGAAGCAGAGGACTTGGAGAATCGGTGAATCGAACACCGGTTTCAGACAATCAGCAGATGAATGCGAAGTCCGCGTCTTACCACTAGACGAATTCCCCGAACCGAGGATAGTGGGATGCTGAAGCTGCGCGCGCGGCGCACTCGTTGGCCTCGACTGCCGCGCAACTGTTTGCGAAACTCCCCATTATGGCCTGAGCGGCTTGATTCTTTCCGTCTGTTGTATCAGAAAAGTAAGTGGATGTTGAGACAGAAAGCGAGAGTGGTTGTCGACCGAAGTGATTTGTATCTATCTCCCATGTGCCACTCCTTCGAATGCCACGTTAAACCACACTCGCCCCGCGTGCTGCTCGGTTGCCTGGGCCACGGCCGCGTGAGATGTCTGGATAATGCGGAGCCGCGGCTTTGCATGAGGTCACGACCAGCTTCGGCGCCGAGCTCCTGTGCCGAGAGCTACCAGTGCAGCTGCATGCCAATTGTCAGCGATTGTCTCTTGTGCAGCTCGGGTACGTAGCCCGGTCAGAAGCCTTGTTTCTGCGATTCCCCAGAATCTCCTTCCTCGTGACGCACTGCGTACCACAACTGAAATGAGGCGTTGGTCAATAGATACACTCTTCACTGTGGCAATAATTCACCGAGGCACACACAACGATTTATGCTGTCTTGAACCCAACACAAACAGGATGACGTACACGGATAAGCCACACCTTCAAATTCCATTCTTGTGGCAGTCTCACCCGCCATAATTCACTCGTCGTCAGCAGAGAGTCACCTGTCCGTCTACTTCGAATGCTCAATGTGCTTGCTCCCACACATCATGTGCCGCAAAGGCTCGAAGGCTCGCCCCTGCGGCGCCGGGGCGGTGGGCCAGCGGGAAGCAGGGCTGACGTAATCCGGGCGTGTAGCTCAGTTGGTAGAGCGCGTCATTAGCAAGCCCACCAGCAGCCCTTGCGAGCTGCTCGAAAGCATGTTACATTGACGAGGTCTTTGGTTCGATTCCTAACTCGTCCAGCCTACTCTTTTTGGGCAAGTCCAGGGGGAGGGAGACGATGTGGATGAACAGGGGAGGGTTTAGGGGCATTGGTCGATGGTGGCTGAGAGCGCCTCAGGGCGCGATCATGGTTATCCCAGCAAGTCCATCGGCGGGATTGACTGCCTCACTGCTTCTAATCAACCCCATCTGCAGCGCACTCCAGCGTCTCTCGTCAGTGGTTGACCGCCCGCAATATGTCAAGGTTTTGAGTATTTTCGAAATTTCAATCAATATCACCTCCCCCTTCTCGCAACCTCCAGACAGCAAAGAGGGCTATGAAAGAATGGCATTCTCCGTCAGTTTATCTTACAGCTCGCGACTTTGATTGAGAGGGTCCGCAGAACATCACGCCCGCAGAATCTGGCCCACGTGGTCGGGCATGTAGCTCAGTTGGTAGAGCGCGTCATTAGCAAGCCCTCATGAGTTCTCAACTCGAGTGGATCAGCGTACTTGACGAGGTCTTTGGTTCGATTCCTAACCTGTCCACAACTAAGCTTTTTAGAGCCTCGCAAGCGCTCCAGCAATGTCCGGTGAGCCTCTGAAGCCAGGGGGGTGGCCTGGATGACGAAAGGGCTGCCCGAACTCGATGGGACGCTCACAACTGTTTCAACATAACCGCACTCGCGGCAGTCAAGCTGCTTTGGCGTATCCAACGAGAATCCTGCCTCAGAACTCCCCAGGATCCTGCTGAAGGCGTCCTGAGTACTGTAAGTAACGCCGGTCGCTCACTCCTGGGCCGCATTCCGTCACTTCCCGGCCGCACTTTGACATGTGGCACCTCTCTTGACTTACCCTTCCTTTACCTGCCATTATTTCTTGCCTCTCTCTCAGCCTAGGACCAGCCAGCGTTGCCGAGGTGCCTCGAGAACACGTGCGATCCAGCGCTGACGTAATCGGGCATGTAGCTCAGTTGGTAGAGCGCGTCATTAGCATCTCCACTCGCAGCCTCGAGAGCAGCGAGCAAGCATTGCTTCATTGACGAGGTCTTTGGTTCGATTCCTAACCTGTCCATTGCTGTAGCTTTTTGGGGCCTGCACTGCTCTCAGAGGTCCAGGAGACATCCCAGTAGCCAACTGGGGAGGCAGAATGTCGAGTGGAAGGCCGATGGTGGTGGTCGGTGGCACAGTCCTCCACCGCCACAGCCACCAGGGCGCAGTGATCGACGCTGCGCAGCTTCTGCTGCGCTTCACAACTACAGATCTATTCCAAGATCTTCAGAAGAAGTAAAGTTCCGAAGAGTCTGGGCCTCACGCGTAGCGCCTCTGCTCACCCAGACGCCCGAGTCCCCTGTCACGCGAGCTTGGAGGCCATGGAAATCGGTGAACCGATGATCCAAGATCTTTCAGTGCTGCGCAAAGACTTGGCTTTGTTGAGGCGGTGACGTCGCCTCAGGCATCTGCGCAAAGTGGCGCAACATTCCAAGCAAAGGGTGCTGCCCTTCCACAGACTGCCAGGAGCGAAGCCAAGTCTATGAAGCAGTCGGGATTCGAAGCTATACATGCTACCTGCACATTCAGAAGGAACCACAGCCCGACGCTAGTCGCACGTCTGACAACGTCACCGATCAGTCACGTGACCGGAACTCCCTCGGCCCGGGTTAGTGAGGAACGAGGTACACACACAAGGTGAACGGATTGAGTTACCGGACCTCGGGCCCTGTGCCCGGAGGTGCCCGTTCTCTCTCATGGGTTGGCGGTCAACATGGGCGTGGTGGCAAGGAAGAGCGCGGAGACATGCGTCGTCATTCCGTACTTAAGACGGACGCTTGGTAGACTTGTACGCTGGGTGCACTGCATATGGGCGGAATGCTTAGCGCGGTCCGAGCGCTTGGGCAGTTGGAGCTGGGAACGTGCAGATCTGCAGTGACGTCGGCCGGCGCGCATTGATAGAACGGGTGGCTGGTGGGACGCAGTGACAGGGCGGTAACGGGCGCAGCCACTGCGATACTGCGAAGCAAGGCAGTACAGGCCGCGCGGCGGGCAGATGCAACGACAACAGTTTGGCGACTGGCGGTCGCTGGGCGTGCTGGGCGTGCCCGTTCCTGCCCTGGCCTGGCACCAAGCGATCCCCACGCAGCGCTCAAAGGGCTCAGGGAAGTGGGCTCAGGCTCCAGCCCTAAGAACGCCGGACCATCCGTTCCTGATAAAGGGTCCAACATGGACTCTCCGCGTGAACCCTCCCCTCGCCCAGGTGACTGACTCTGCACTCATCTTGCTGGGCGCTGGGAACTGCCAGCATCACTACTGGGTCATGGCCGCATGGGATAATGCAGGTCGCGTCCCATACCATGCCGGAACGATCGAGGTGCACAGAGACTTCTAGACGTACGTGTGGAGCGCCAATGCACTGGCGCACATTCTGGGTTTGTAAAGACACCGGTGTTTGCACGCGATGGCAGGACGGTCAGGACGAACGCACGGAGATCCTGACGGACATGGTGCACCCCGCAAAATAACGCGATCAGCTGGCTCCATCCACAATATCCACCCCCAGGTCCCCCACACGCATGCGCTGGCGCACGGCGAACTGGTCGGTCAAGCATGCAGCCTCTCTCATGCGACCTTCGGGCTCTACGCTCTCCAGCAGTCAGGTGTGGGATAATCCGGCGCGCGGGGAAGAGAGCGATTCAAGGAACAGTGGCCCAGGGTGGCGCATTTTGGGCTCCGTACTCGGGTGGGTCTTCTAGTGGTTTGTTGCATTCAGCTCTGGTAGCGCGCCGTCTGGAGCCGGGAGCCGGCTGGACTGGGTCGGCCGGGGCCAACGAAGCTATATGGGTCCAACGAGTCGTAGTGCTATTCTCGGGGACCGGGGAGTGGTTCTACAGGACAGTCCGAAGGGGCCACCGAGCGGATGGCGGCCGGCTCCCTCGTCTCGTAGCCCATGGCCAGTGTGCTAGTTCCCCGGCAGAAACTCAGGCCCACTCACCTGGAGGCTGGAGACGTGGAGACAGGGCCGTCGCTTCGGATGCATAGGCGCGCGCAAATCAGAGCAGATCAGCCTGACGAATGCATGCTGCGCAAATCGCCGCAGGTGTACAGCACAATGACACGCATGCACGCATGCAACGCGGCCTTGCGGCAATGCGGCGAGGGGGTGTATGGAGACAAGCAGGCTAAAGCAGGGCAGGGCTAAGGCAGCTAAGAAGGCACGCTCCTGCGCTCCTGGGTGGTGCCAGGGTGCCAAGAGCATCGACCTCTGACGGCGCGATTTCGCAGCACCGCCATAGCATCATTTACCACGCCCATCATCGCCCCTTTTGCTTCACTTACTCATACTGCTGCCATTTCCGCAGTCTGTCCTTTCTTTTCTTATACCTTGTCTCCTTTCCTTCCTATTTACTCCTGTCTCCCTCTTTGCGCTCGGTCATCTCGACCTGTCGACTGCAGTGCTCGTTCTACCATCTACACGCATCCACTGCGCCTTCCGCCCCCGCCTAGATCGCATCAAGCTCGAATAGACATCCTCTCCAACGCATAGAACGCCGCTTGTACCCTGCCCATCCAGCCGCCGCCGCCATCCCGCACTTGCGCACGACTACCGTCAAGCGGCCATCACGTCCTCTTCGATGAGGAGCTCCTCAAGCCCGCTGTGGGCGGTCGCGAAACTATTCACCCTCCTTGTTGCAGCATGTGCGCTACTGCTGTCTAGCGGGGTCTCCGGTAAGTTGACGCCAGCCATGCTGCGCACATCGCGCTAATGAATATCAGCCCGCTCCACTCGTCCCCCTCCAGTTAAACGAGTACACCACCCCGCCGGCTCCAGCATCAACATCCTTCCTCGCACCGTGGCCAATGGCCTCAACGCCCGCTGGGGAATCGCTCCCAGGTCCAACACGCTCAGACACGATGACACCCTTATGTTGACACTCTCGGTGCCCTCGCTGTTTCAGCGCAACGTCTCGCTCATTCTCCGCCCCAACTTGGACATGTTCCACCCGCAAGCCAAGTTCACCGTCCAGGGCGAGGAGGATACGCCGTTGCGAGCCGAGGACTGGCGCCTGTACCATGGCGATGTGATCCGTCCGTCCTACGCTCAGCGCGCCTGGGCCGAGGTCAATGCTGGACTCGAGCCGAACCCTCGAATGATTGTCGGAGACGCGGCCGTCATGGTCCACGAGTACGACGAGCACAACGTTCAGTGGGAGGGCTCGTTCCAGTTCTACCGCCGCACCTACCACGTCCTCACCCGACAGAACTACATGCTGTCGAAGCACGAGCTCGACGCCGACCTCGAGCCGGTCGAGTTTGGAAATGACATGGTGATTTGGACGGACAACGACATTGATGGCGACTGGATGAACGAGGATCTCATGGAGCCGACGTACGAGGAACTCATCCGTCGCGGCGACATGGGTGGTGCCGGCAGCAACGAGAACTACGCCAAGTACATCGGATCCACCAAAGGATGCCCGGAGACCCAGAACCTCGTGTACGCCGGTGTCGCGCTTCACTCGAGCTACATCCAGCAGACGAACGGCACCAACTCCGCCAAGTCCAAGGTTCTGAACGACTTCAACCAGATTTCTGCCCTCTTCAAGAAGAACCTGAAGATTTCCATCGGTCTCACTGAGATGTACAATGCCGGCTCTGACACGTCTGGATGGCAGAGCGAGTGCAGCGACAAGATTCTGCTCGAGGACCGTCTCAGCATGTTCAGCCAATGGATGGGCGAGAACCGTGCGGACGACCCTACTGGCTTCTGGCACATGATGAGCGTAAGTCGCCGCATGCGTTACGTGTGCTAATCTTTAGAACTGCCGAACTGGGAGCAGCACCGAAATCGGTGTCGCCTGGGTCGGTACGCTCGGCCGCGCGGCGTCTGTCAACCCGACGAAGCCGGGACAGTGGAACTCGGCCGCCAGTACCTCGACCATCATTCTGAATGAGTGGACCGTGGCTGCCCACGAGATCGGCCATGTCTTCGGCGCCATTCACGACGTGAGTTCCGTTGATTTCCACGATCTAACTCTCAGTGCACGGACTCGACTTGCGGCAGTTCCGCTACTACTGTCAAGGGATGCTGCCCTTACACTACCACCGAGTGCAATGCGGACGGCCGTTTCATCATGAACCCCGAATCGAACGGAACTCAGACCGAGTTCTCGAAGTGCACCGTCGGCAACATCTGTCACTGGATAGAAACCAACGTCACTACTACTGCCGACAAGTTCCAGGACAACATTTGGGGTGGTCTCTTCGTTGAGCCTCCTGGACCGCAGAAGATCATTTCTGAGAAGTCGTGTGGTAACGGAATCGTCGAGGACGGAGAGCAGTGTGACCCCGGAATCGGCAACTCGACCTGCTGCACTTCTGGTGAGTTAGGCGGCGTGGATATGGCTGACCCTCAGAATGCAAGTACGCCCCCGGAGCCGTCTGCGACCCGAATAGTGACGAGTGTTGCCAAGACAACTGTCAGTTCAAGTCTGCGGGCACCGTCTGTCGCAAGGCTCTCAGCCCGGAGTGTGACACCGAGGAGAAGTGCACTGGTAACAGTGGCAAGTGCCCGAAGGACGAGAGGAAGGAGGACGGCGCAAAGTGCGGCGATGGTCTCTCGTGCGCCAGTGGTCGCTGCACGTCCCTTAACTGTGAGTTCGAATGGACTCGTCCTTAGCTGACTTCCCAGTGCAATGCCAGCAAAGCATGAACATGACCGAAGCCTGCGGGCAGCGTAACGATCAGTCCTGCAAGGTGTGGTGCAAGTCTGGCCCCAACCAGTGCAACGGTGGCACGACGCCTCTTCTCGATGGTTCTCCCTGCGGTTACGGCGGCAAGTGCTACGGCGGTAGCTGCAAGAAGGGCACGTGGCAGCAGCAGCTGTCGGCGATGTACAGGGAGAACCTGCAGTACTCGGTTCCGATCACTGTCGTGGTTGGCCTGCTCATCCTCGCCATTCTATGGTCGCTGCTCCGCTGTATGTTTCGCTGCTGTGGTGCGGGCAGTCATAAGAACAAGAGGAAGCCTTACGAAACCCGAGGCCCAGCTCCCCCCATGGTGATCGCAAGCAACAACGACCTCTCCGGCCCCGAGTACAGCGCCGGCAACCCTCTTCTTGCGGCCCCGGCTAGCGGCCACAGCCGCAACGTGTCGGGCGCCTCGGACCAAAACGTCCCCATGCAAGAGCTCAACAGCTACAACAACTACAACAACTACAACCGCGGGTATGACAACTACGCGCCGGCTGGATACAATGACCCGTACCAGCACGAGCCGAATCTGTACTACCAAGGCCCCCCAGGTACTCAGACTCCCGACGCCGATCCGTATGCTAAAGGACCAGTGGAGAACCGCTACCAGGACGGTGACTGGATCGACCAGCGCCCGCCCAACAATGCGCGCAGGAACGACTTCTAAAACGCACCAAGACGGACAATATCATTTCTCAAGTGTGAACAATTTCATCAATTCCCCCCTCCCCCGACTCCCGATGCTGTTACGAGGCGTGTCTCACGAATGTGCAAAGGAAGGAAAGAAGTCATAAACGAATACCCCCAGCAAGCGTTCTGGTTTAGCATGTTATCTCTACGATCGAGGGCCCGACCGGCCTAGCTATAGATCACTGCATAGCGTAAATGTATACATTGTATTGCTTGACTATCGCAGTCAACACAAACGGCGCCGATCGACGCTACCCAACCCTGTGAGGTTGTGGTCCATTTGCGTCTACTGCCCCTCATGCTCGATCCGTGCCCTAGATTCGCGCCAGTGCGCCAAGACCTCGGTCGTCAAATGCTTCTCAGAACGGTACGGCCCCGTGCGGCCTCTGACCTCTGGAGGGAGGCACACGCACCGCCGGGGCGACTGAACTGAACAAACCATGCCACAACAGCGCGAGCTCCAGCAAGGTAGGCTGTGAACAACGATGCACCCATGCACCCCTTCTGCAAGTGGGCAGGGACCAGAAATGGACACACACGACCCGCCGTTTCTGGTCCACTCCCTGCGGGCGACGGCGAACAGCACAGCCTGCCCTGCAACTACCCCGGTGGGAAGGCCGAAGCCACGGATTCTGCCATCGCAAGCCGGGAACTGAGTTCAACTTCTGACGCGTGCCACGCCCTCACACATGAACATGAACGGCCGGGGTCCCTTCTGAGGCGCCGATCACACGTCCTCTCTTGGTCATGCTAGCAATTTCAACCCGTCGTTTCTGGTTGACAGCTGGAGAGTTGAAAAGTGCGTGCTCGTCGACACGGAGCGCAGCACCAGGGATGCCCGGGACTTATATCGCGTCTGAGAGCTGGTGAGCAGCCCTTCACCACATATTCAGAGTGACAGAGATCATGAGGGGGCTATCCTCCTTGTCAACATCACGAAATCTCCTGCAGCAGTGCTTCAGAGCCTCGAAGAATCGAGGCTGTCCTGAGATTGAAGCTCGGAGGATCGTCGTCGTGGGATGGCACGCAAAGGCTGCTGCTACTGTGGATGGCGGAAGTCACAGCGCAGCGACGTCTCGTAAGCTCTTCAGGTGGCTGGGATGCCTGCCGTGGCTATGCGCCTTCACACGTAGACGTCTCTGTATCTAGCAGCTCAAGTGGCCGTCATGCAGGTCGATTGACGCTCATGAATGGCAGAGAAACGGAAGAAGGCCTGGCGAGTCATCGTTCGCTGCTGTTCTGGAGATTGTGTTAGGGCTCTTGTAGACTTGGCACGTGTTGGTTATCACAGAGCTTGATCAGTTGAGCTAGGTTGGTTTGAGTCATCAGTTTCTGGCATCAGTTCGCAGTTCAGATCAAACTGGGCAACAAGACTGTGGCTTACACCATCCAGGCGTCGAAGAGGAAAGGATCAGATGAGTGGTGTCAGACAAGGAGTGAGGATTACTGCTCCGAGCTACTGGTCTACCTTCACCTGAGGAGTTATGCTGAACGAGAGCAGCTTCATGTGTCTGCAGACAACTTGACTGGGCCGGGAGAGCGATGACAGAGGAGGGAAGGTGCTTGTGCAATGTCACGTAGACTGGCGATCCCTCCTCTGCGACGCGAGTCCATTGAACACAACATCGCCCGGCTGCAGTGGAGGGGTTGGCAATGTCCTCGGTTTGAATGGGTGTTACGACCTTTGCGAGCGATTGAAGAGAGAGTCGGTTCAGAGGGAAGAACAACGTCGAAATGACCGCTCAGAGATGTCTTCCTCGCCTCGCATGTCAACAACTACCGCATCGCACAGGTGCCGGTGGAGGTGGAGGTCGTCTACGGCCATTAGGACACGTGACTTAATTTTGCCTGTCCTGGGTTCGGCCTCAAAGCCAGCCGTTACGCGCCGACGCTCCGTTACAGCCAGAGGTTGCATCAAGAAAGATCTTGCGAGCTAAATCGCTATGGGTTGGGAGCACAAGCAAGAGCGCTCCATCGAGAGCATCTCCTCGTTCGAACGCGAACAACGTGAACGACGAGAAGTGAGGACATGTCGAATTAGCTACTATCAAGACCCTGGCTAGAGAAAAGGCCAGGTGCTAACGAAACTAAGCATTTGCTCTAGCGCCCGTCGTCTGCCCCGCTCCAGGAACTGAAGGGTTAGGACGCCGCATTCGACACGACATAATGGGTCGTGCCGGTGAACGGAAGGCGCAGATGAAAGAAAAAGAAGAAGAGAAAGTTGGCCGGAACCCTTTTGAGGACGCGGTACGGGGCGAGCCATTGAGTGGGGGGCGAAATAAACTATGTCAGTGACGCACTTGTCCTCGATCAGCCATGTTCGCGTCCAGGTGACCTCTGGCTTCGCTACCACCACCATGACGACAACGACGGAGGAGGAGGACATTCGTGACTTGTTCAACATCATCTATGCGGGGGAGGACTGGGACGTGAGTGTCTAAGCTGAGCTGAGGTATCCCGGAAACTGACGGCAGGACGAGGAGGCGCCGGCGAAGGACACAGAGCTGCTGTCTCGGGTACGTAGTGAAGTTGCTCATGCACTGATGAACAGGCTCATTTCCAGGCCGTATTGGACAACCTCCTGCAGCCTCCGCAACTGAAGTATTACACGCCGCGCTCGCGCTCTCCAACTGTGATCCCGTCTACCGTGCCAATACCGCCTTCAACGACGGGGTACGCGCCGTTCTCGCCGCTTCCCTTGTTAAAGCGGTTACAGACGTACGGCCATGTGTACGTGCCAAACCCGTTGTCAGCTCAAGCTCTTGCATTAGCTGGCTGGGTTGCATCCGGTGGTGCCTTCAAGTGCGAAACGTGTGATAAGGTGTGGGGCCTCGGGCAACTCGACACGATCAAGAAAGAGGCGGTCAGGCGGGATGTTCTGTTGAAGTTGTCACGAAACCTGCGAAGCTACCACGCTTCATCGTGCGGGTGGCGATATGTTTCGACGCCGGAGGAGACGGTGCGCGAAGTTCGCAGCTTGCTGAACCCCACGCTATCGAGCTCGCTCGCGCCGTTACGCCAGGCGCTGCAGGCACGCGTGCTGAGCAACCCGACTCTAGATGCCGTGCGCTGGGCTAGCCCGCTCTTGCCGGAGGAGTTGGACAATCTCGCGCGCAATCTCGACAAATACGCGCAACTCCATCTCCAATTCCCGGACCAGGAAAACGAACCTGCCGCACCGGGTGACAAGGAGCAGTTCGCGTCAGCACTTGCGTTCTTCGGTTGGTACCCCTTCGACTCCTCGGACCCGGATGCGAGCTGCGTGCAACCCGGCGGCGTTGGTGGGAGAACTGAGATCGTCCGCTGCAGACAGTGTCTGCGCCGTATTGGGCTCTGGAAGCATGTCCAGGACGACAAGGCCATGGACGTCCTTGAGAGCCACCTCGCTTGGTGTCCGATCCGCGGTGATTGGTATAACGGCAGCCCTCTGCTTCAGCCGCCGGGTGCAGAGGAACCGAAGCGTATCCTTGACGAGATTAGCATCAGCGAGCGGCCAAAGAAGAAATGGCGCCGGTGAGGGAAAGTTGGCGAGAGGGATGGCGATAGATCTTGTGTAGATGTGATGACCCTGTTGTATGCATTCTAGACTCTACATGTAGACGCTCGCACTGCTCGCGCGCTTCGCGACACCCTTGCGTTGCGGTGGCTGCTCCGGTTGAGCTGGCGGGGGCGGGGTCTCGGTGTTGGCCTCGGCAACGACTGTCTGTCAGTAATGACCATTGTCGCAACTCACTCTCTGTCCACTCCTTGACGGCGTCCTCCTCATGCTTCTTCTCAACGCGCTCCTTTGCGATAGCCTTCGCGTCCTCCTCGCTCTTGCCCTCCGCAAGAAGCTTGACAATCTCGCCATCCTCCGTGATCGTGTCCTCCGCCTTCTTGCCCCTTCGTCGGCCGAGGAGCACCTCGAGCCATGAGACCTTGCGGAGCTCACTGAGATCCGGCTTCTCCGCGTCGCCCTCCTTTCCGCCCTCTTCAGACTGCTCGGCAAGCTTCTCCCGCGCGTACTCTGCCAGTGCCGGTCCAGAGCCAACCTGTTGCCTCACACGCTCGAGAGCGTCCGGGTCAAGCGTAAGCTTGCGCCGGCGGAGGCCGACCATCTCAAGCTCACGCCGGATCTCCTGGTCCGAGAGCGGCTCGCCACGCGCGAAGCTTGCGATCATGTCCTCGAGCACGCTTTGCTGAGCCTTTAAACGCGCGAGCTCCTCCTCGTTCGCCTTCCGCTTGCGCAGAAGATGCACTGCCAGAGACGTGATCACGGTCCACCAGAAAAGGAAGGGGATGAGGGGCTTGAGGCGCTCGCCGATCGGGGGCACATCGGTCGGCAAACGCAGGCGCTCTTCCCGCTCAGGCTTCGGCGCATGGGAGGAGTAGTGCGGCGGCGGAGGCGAGGGGGGCTTGGAGCTCGAGTACGGCCGCCGGCCGAGGCTCGCCTGGCGGCTATGTGTCGGTCGCTGGGCGGGACGAACGGCGGGGCGGGAGAAGTGCCGCGGCGCTGCGACAGACCACACGGCGGAGCGTGTCTGGGCAGCGAGCGCCAGTGACCGGAGGGCGGGTCGTGAGAGCATAGTGGTGTCAGTCGGTATGAGATTGTTGACACGGTCGAGAAAAGTTCGGAATCGACACTCGGCATCGCCCATCATGCCCCAGTGCCGGGTGACCGCGTGCGCCGGCCCTTGGAGGGACCTGACTTTTTCCGATTAACGCTGACAGGCTGGCTGATATGGAGGCGACCTCCACTTCCGGCGCCGTCTGACTGCTGACTCTTGCAACTGCATCGACTTCCATCATGGCCGCTGAGAACAAGAAGACAAGCGGTCCGCCCCTCGCGTGCGCCAAGGACCGCGAAGACCTTATTCAATGCGTTCTGCGGACAGACTGGTAAGTAAACCGGGATCGGAGCGGCGTAGAGGTGGTCGCCACTACGTCTGAGGTCAACCAGCTCGTTCAAGTACTCAGCGAAGCTAACCTCAGTGTCATGAAGAAGGGCAAGACGCCCGGCGACTGTATCCGCTCCAACGATCTGCCGCTGCCGTGCCAGCATCTGCTCGCGAACTATGCCGACTGCAAGAGGGGAATGGTAAGTCACTCTGACACTGGAGCATCGTTATCCCGTATCGTTTCCTTTGTGCCATAGGGGGGCGAGCCGCAAGCGAGACTGCAGTAAAGGCTTCACTGTTGCGCGGCATGGTAGCTGACACCCCCAGCTCGACATGCGCCGGCGGTTCCGCGGTAATCACCTGAGTGAGGAGGCGAAGCGGGCAGCCTCGGGCAGCCACGACGAGGACCTGCTGGCGCAGAAGTAGCATTATTGTAGTGTACGCATGTATTCATTGCTCATCGCATGAGGGTCTGAGAGTTCACATGGCGTGCGTTGCTGGTCGGGACAGAGAAGTGCAGGGGAAAACGACGCATCTTCAAGCAGTGGTAGACAACACCTGGGTTCAAAACGAGGGGTCGGCTAGTGGACGACGGACGTCACCGAATTTCGGGTCATCAACAATCTCCCATCTCCCACCATCTCACCGGAACACTCACCTCCTTCGATTCGACTCCTTTTCAACCGGACGCACCGGGCACAGGTAGTCCTTTCAGATCGACTTCTCGGTATCTCACTGCCCAAACTTCCGCTCCCCGGCCAAACCCGATCTACTTTTGCTATCGAAGACTGTTGAGCTCGACATCACGCCGCCCTCCCCTCCCGATCACTCAAAACCGCCATGTCGCTCGATGCTTTCGAGGCGCGGCTGCAGTTCATCAAGCTGCTCAAGACGCTGAACGCGTCGCAGGCGAGCATTGTCAAGGTCGTCTCGTTCGCGATAAAGTATGGCCCGCGCTGTGGCGAGGATCTCTGGACCTGTGTCGTGGACGAGGTGGACAAGGTGAGTTTGCTTCTCTTTCCGATGTTCTGCATCTTCTCTCAGTTTGGAATATAGGCTGTTGGAGATTGTATGGAAGTCAGCAGCCGCTGACTACAGGCCTCGCTCAACGCGCGCATCAACATCCTGTACTTCCTCGACGGGCTGATCGAGGCGTCGTCCCAGGTCGAGGGAGTACCGTACATCGGCCTGATCGAGAGCTCTCTTCCAGCGCTAGTCGAGAAGGTAGTCCCCAACACGTCAAAGGGCTACATCAACCTGAAGAGCACGCGCGATATTCTGCGATCTTGGGCGACACAGCGTCTCTTGAACCCAACGATAGTGCAGGAGGTGCTCGACTCGCTCGACGCGCAGACCTTCACGGGCGGCAGCGGGACGCCCGCTCAAGGTGGCGACGACGAGACCCAGGCAGCAGTAGCAGCAGGACCAGGCGGGGGCAGCGAGGACACGCCCGGCTCCAATGGAAGTAAGCGGAAGCGCGAGAGCATGAAGCGGAGCGATGTCCTGTTGCGCATCGAGGAGGACCGCGAGCGGCAAAAGCGCCTGCGTGAGAAACGGTGGATCCTCCCCATCCCTGCTCCCGGGAGCGAGGTGAATCCGGCTGACGTCGAGTTTGATCTCATGTGGGACGCGCTCGAGGTCGCTCCGGGGCTCGACGACGACGATCGCGAACGCATGCGCCACGACCTCGCGGCGGCAGGACTCGCCCGTGATCAGCGGGCTCATGTGTACTAGCCTTCTTCCTCACACCTGATCTCGTACGGCCACACTCTGTATTACTGTATGTATCATGCATCTATGAGCAAGTCTAGACTACTTCTTCTCCTTGAGCGCGGCCTCGATCGCGGTGTCGAGCATCTTGCGGCCCTCAGCAACCTTCTCCCCGACTTCCCTGCGGCGCTCCTCAGCTCCCATGGTCGGCTTCCACGCAGACTCCTTCTCAGAGCTACTAGGGATATCCTCCCGGACGCTCCTCAGCGAGTCGCGCAGCTCAAACAGACGCGCCTTGCGCAGCTGTCCGTTCTTGTTCTTCTTCTTCTTGCCCGTGGGAAGCACCTCGGTCATGCGGGCGACCAGGCGATCACTGACACCCACGAGCGTCGCGACCTCGGTGCGCGAGAGAGAAGAAGGGAAAACAGAGGAGAGGGGGACGGCGTCGCCCTCCTCCTTGACTGCGGCGCGGAGGGCGCGCGCCAGCTGCGTCAGGCCCGCTACGAGCCCGGCGCCCTCCACGGCCTCCACGGTCTCGATAGGCGCATCGAGCGCCGCCTCGTCACCGGCGACCCAGGACGCGATCGGCGACAGCGCGCGCGCGAGTGCCTGCGCCTCATCGGGCGTCTGGCCGGAGAGAGACGACGGCGTCAGGTCATACACCCTGTTGTCCACGAGGGTGGCTGGCGTCAGCTAAAACGTAGCAGAGGGAGAACTCACCCGACCCAGCCTTCACGAGGCGCTTGACCATGCTGCTGTCGAGACTCGCTCCACTGACGAGGTCGCGGAGGAGCAGCTCCGTGTCGAGCGAAACCTGTCCGACGCTGCGGTCGAGGTTGGACACGAGCTGCTGGATGCCCCGGATCTGCATGTCAGCACGCTGCACACTCTGCGTCGACCGTCGTGCCTTCGAACCTCCGAACGCACCTTTGAGTAACTCTCGTGCTCGAGCGCGTGCGTGATGTACTGGGGCAGATCGGCGCGGGAGCGCGCATACATGGCCTCGGCCTTGCCCGCAAAGTCATTCCAGTACGCCTCCCGTGCCACTCTGAGGTCGTCGGCGCGCTCAAACACCCATCCAAGCGCGTCGAGCTGCACTTCGCTCAGTTTCAGTTTCTCGACATGCGCGGCCGCGACCCCAGGTGCGCCGAGACGGCGATACACGCACACGAGGGCGAGGCGGGCGCCGTCTCGAGCAGCACGGCCGCGTCCTGTAGCGGAACGTCGCTTGGGGGAGAAGCATGGTGGACGCGCAGGAGGTGTTCCACCGCCGCTAGGCCCAGGGGGTCGGCGGGCTGCACGTCCGTCTTGGGCAGGTTGGCACCGTACTGCAATCCAGACTCGTAGAGCGTCCACAGCCGCTGGGCCTCCTCGAGACTACCGTCTTTGCGCGACTTTAGGGCGAAGAGCTCCGCGACAGAGAGAGCGACAAAGTCCGCCTCGCTCGCGTGAGTCGCGAAACGTGCCGCACGCTCGGCCATGATCTCGTCCGCGGCGCGCTCGAATCCAACGGACACGCCGGCGACCTCGCTGCCCGCGGTCCACTTCGCGCCCCAGCGGTCGAGATAGGACTCGAGCGCCTTGCGCCACTCGGGCTCGGACATGCTCTCCCCCTTGCCAGAGGCTCGGAGACGGCCATCGAGTTCAAGCAGCGCGAGCGCAGGACTTCGGTCCTTCACGCTCCCCCGGAGATCCTCGAAGAGCGTCCGCGCCTTTGCCGCGTCAACGCCGCCGAGGATCACCGCGTCCACCGCGTGTCTGTAAAAGGCATAGTTGCTCTGCGCCTCGGGGTCCCCCTTGAGCACTGCAGCGGCCGTGGCAAACTCGTCCTCCCACACCGATGCACGCAAGGACTCGTCGTAGGCCGCAATGGCCGCTGCGGCCTGCATGCTGACCCATCTGCGGGCGAGCGCACCACAGTGTCCCTCCTTCTTCAGCAGGGCGCGGGCCTCGCCAAACTCTCGCCCGCCAATGAGGACGGCGAGCCGAAGCCAGAACACGTCCACGCTCTCTTCGACCGCGGGCAGGGTTTTGAGGAAGAGCGAAGCTGCGACGAGCGATTTCTCGGGACAGAGCGGGAACGCAGCCTCGGCTGTGGATGCGGCGCCCTCGCCGGCGAACGAGGGTGTCGAAGAGGAAGAAGAGGTGGAGGAGGAGGGGGTGGGGTTGGAGGAGAGAGCCTGGCAGTACGTGCTGTACGCGGCCATGCGTGCCCAGATCGACAGTTTGGTCTGGTTGAACAGCTTGCGCGACACGGCCGCCATGGTCTCGTAATCCCCCATCGTCGACGCAGCGAGGAAGAGGGGGTCACCCAGGGTTGCGTCCCGCGGGCGCTCCTCCCATCGCTTCTTGTGCATCTCGAGGACGAGGTCGGCTTGAAGGCGTCAGCGTAGCTCCTATCTCTTCGAGTATACCTACGCCTATCGATACTCCGCAACGTCACCGTCGCGAGCCAGATACTCCGGTCCGTCAACCATCCCGTCTCCTGCACTTTGGCCCATAGCTCGAGCACCGCGTCGGTGTAGCCCGCCCGGCGCGTCTTCTCGGCAAGCGCCATCTTAATCGCGAGCCCGGGCTGCGACTTGGGCCGCGTCGAGAGCCACTTGTCCACCGCCTCTTCGACAGCCGCATACTTGCCGGCGTGGAGGGACTCTGGTTGTCAGCTTACAGATTAAAGAGATCTGGACAGCTGGCGCTGCCTTCAAGCACGCTGCCCCTTGCGCAGAGAGGGGAGTCTGCGACTTCCGCGCTACAAGACTGGGGAGTCGAGGTAGGATGAAAGGTATAGTGCGAGTGGATACCGGGGAGACACAACGTACCATACAACGGGATGAGCTTGCGCTCCTCGAACGCCCAGCTCGAGGCCATCTTCACTGTTGTGTGTTTTGTGTTTTGAGCAACTCTGGAAGCGTTGCCAGCGATCTATCTATCGCTGGACTGTTGGACCTCCACCGCAATTTCCGCGCCGCGAGCATGCAGCACACGCCCAGCTCCTGCAGGAGCGGTGCCTGAGCCAGAAAGGCATAGCGGAATCAAAATGCCCCTTGCCTCCACCGCGACCTTTCAGCGATGCGAACCACTCAGGAGATCGTCCTCTGCGTGGAGGGGACAGCCATCCATCCATGGCTCTCTCGCATCCACGAATGAGCTCCTACGTCGACGAGAGCAGCAAAAGAGGCCTCCACCGCGACCTTTCAGCGATGCGAACCACTCAGGAGATCGTCCTCTGCGTGGAGGGGACAGCCATCCATCCATGGCTCTCTCGCATCCACGAATGAGCTCCTACGTCGACGAGAGCAGCAAAAGAGGCCTCCACCGCGACCTTTCAGCGATGCGAACCACTCAGGAGATCGTCCTCTGCGTGGAGGGGACAGCCATCCATCCATGGCTCTCTCGCATCCACGAATGAGCTCCTACGTCGACGAGAGCAGCAAAAGAGGCCTCCACCGCGACCTTTCAGCGATGCGAACCACTCAGGAGATCGTCCTCTGCGTGGAGGGGACAGCCATCCATCCATGGCTCTCTCGCATCCACGAATGAGCTCCTACGTCGACGAGAGCAGCAAAAGAGGCCTCCACCGCGACCTTTCAGCGATGCGAACCACTCAGGAGATCGTCCTCTGCGTGGAGGGGACAGCCATCCATCCATGGCTCTCTCGCATCCACGAATGAGCTCCTACGTCGACGAGAGCAGCAAAAGAGGCCTCCACCGCGACCTTTCAGCGATGCGAACCACTCAGGAGATCGTCCTCTGCGTGGAGGGGACAGCCATCCATCCATGGCTCTCTCGCATCCACATGACTCATGCAATGCCGCGCATGACGGAAGTGTGGAATTCCGACACGATTCCCAGTGTATATGCTTTCCAGTGCCTTGCCCAAGTACAAGTAGGAGTAGTCACTCCGCGCTGTTCCTAATGATGTCCGCGACCCGGTGAATGGAGACTGCAAGGTACGACGCGTGCGGGTGTACCTTTTGGTCTTTGAATGTTTGGGTCGCCGAAAATCTTTGTGGCGTGAAAACTGCGCACTCTCGCTATTGCGCATGCACACACGCGCACACGCAAAACCGAGCGACGGCGACGCAGTACCAGTTTACGCTATGCGCGCAGACGCGGAGATCAGATCCAGATCTCTTCTCTCGGCCAGGCCGGCCAATGTTCGCCAGCAATGCTAGGTCTCGTGCTCAGCCTCTCCTTACTCAGACTAATGGAGCGCAGCAGGCCGACCCAATCGCTACCAGAGGATCGACGCGGGCGTCGGGATTACATGTCCAGGTGGCGTTCCGAGAGCTGTCCCTGCCGCCCTCAGGCAAATGCACTGGAGCTGGACCAAAGGAAGAGCACGGTCACTCACCGCCTGTGAAGTGGTGCGACGCCACGCAGCGCCACGGCGTTGCAGTATCCTGACATGCCTGAAGGCCTGTAACTCCTCT